TGTTTACTAGGCAAAAAGAGGCCCTTCCTCAGAGAAGAGGTGAGGCAGTCGGTAGCTATAATGTATGGATGAAGACGGCGTACTTTCATCGGGGTCGAACTGACATCTAAAGGTAGTACGATCAGATTGACACTTTCTTTATATCCACCAAAACAAATGGACCCACATTTTAGTGAATATCTCAAAATGGATCACAATACTGCTGATCACAATACTACTCCATAGCCATTAAAAGACTTAAGAGAGGCATACCGAGACAAGAGAGGTGCTTTAGAACTATTGTAGACGTGCTTGTAGGCACCCCTCCGCGGTATGTGAGCCTGACTCTGCCAGGAAACCCACTCAATTTTTGTCTGAGGTGAGGAAAAAACGGACGCATTAACACTGAGTAGAAACACGCAGGGGCGCATGCATAAGTTAAACTACTGGAATAGGACATTTCAATCGCCCTAACATTTAGTAGTAACAGTTTACAAGGCTTGCATCTTTTGGATAAAAGTGTAAACTGAACAGTTAAGTACCATGAGAGAAGATAACCAAGGTGCAGTGGAATTCTCGGATTTGGCTCGACCTAGTGCACCATATTAGGGAAGTAAGCAAAACTCAAAGCGGAGTCAGAGTTGTGAACACAAACCGTAAACGACAGTCCGACCGTCAGTCACGACAAGGTTTATCGTGTGGTCCACAAAATATTGGTGCAGGAACGATAACTTGCGTTGGTTTATAGGGAAAGTGGACTTACTTCGCATCTATCTCACTCTGCCCACTTCTCATCCGGGCCCAGTGTCAAGGCAGAACAAAGAAGAGGGTAGCAAGGGAGTGGGCGCAGGCCCACGCACTGTGGATGAACACAATCAGAAACCACAGCAAAGAAGGGGGCGGCTTCGATCCCAGCTAGATGGGAGTGCCATAAGGACTACATTAAGAAGGAGCCAATGCAGCCTGACTCTGAGGCCGCCGGTCAGCCGCTCACACAGCACAACACACTGGACTGAACAAGCAGTCCGAGTCATCCCGTTACTTGGCAACTTTCCAAGCTACGGCTTTTAGCGCAATGTGATGACTTCAAGCGCGTCAGATTGTTTGTAGCGAGGAAAATGCGCTGAGCTCACGACCTCTCTCTCTCTTTCCCTCACCGCCGGCGGCATCAAACCAGCATCACACAAACACACACACTTTGTTGTAGCTAAGGGCCCATATCTAAGTGCAAAGACCGTGGAACTCCACGGACCACAGGCATGCTGTAAACACTAGACCACTAACAGACCAGACTAACAGTTAATGTAGCTTAATGCACGCGGTGGGCTGTGTCAAGAGGGGAGCGCAAGAATACGGCAAATTTACAGAGGACGCACCTTAGTTTCAAGGCAGACAGTGAAGCCACCGGCGTAGATTATTTCTGCCTCGATCCACAGACCGTGGTTGTCCAGGAAGGGTCTACCGGCGCGTCGAATGACGGGCAGTTCAGTGCCCAAGTCAATGCTTGAGACAGTCAGTTCATTGATGAAGTAGGGCAACTGAAGAAGAGAGC